CAACCTCCCGATCCGCCCTGCTCTGTGCATGACAGGGGGCAGCGCCCTAACTCCCCAATCGGCCCTGCTCTCAGCCCGACCAGGGGCTGCACCTAGGGATTGGGCCTGCCCTCTGCCACCTGGGAGCAGGCCTAAGCCAGCAGGGCGTTATCTCCCGAGGGGTCCCAGACTGCGAGAGGGCACAGGCCGGGCTGAGGGACCCCCCCCTTCCCCCCGAGTGCACAAATTTTTGTGCACCGGGCCTCTAGTCTATATATATAAAAGCCTAAGCGACCGTTATGACCAGATGACTGGCCGACTGGCCGGTAGCTATGATGTGCACTGACCACCAGGGGGCAGAAGTCCAATGCAGGAGCTGCCCCCTGGTGGTCAGTGCACTCCCACAGCCAACCTCCCGCAGCTGGCCAACACCCCGATCGGCCCGATGGGCCCCAATCGCTGGCCAGGCTGAGGGACTCCACCCGTGCACAAATTCGTGCACCAGGCCTCTTGTAGTGAACTGTCAGGCTTGCTTTTGACCCACTGGTTATGTGTCACATTGCACGGGTAGTGAAGTCTAGGTATAGGATGTCAGACGGTCCACCTGCCATCCTGACCTGAGGTGTAATGGCTGCCACCAGTTGGCTTTACCTGTGTTACTTCCGCAGGTGACTGACCTGCTAAGCCTGCTGTCTGCCCTGGAGGTCATTTCACAGTTGCACTTGCCGCGCAGGGTTGTGGTGGAGCCGCCTGAGCTCCTATGGGAAGGTGTTGGGATAGGACCCGCCCGTAGGCACTCAGGGAGCAGCCCTCCTGGGGTTTATCACTGCGGCTGGGCCGCTGTGGCCAGGGGGCTCTGCTCCGTGGGCTCACCTCCGCAGCTTGACCTCCTAGCGCTCTGCATTTCCCCCTCGGGCGGGCGCCTCTGGTCTTCTGGGATGTTGTAGGAACAGACTTCCCAGGAGGGATGAGGCATTAGGTGACCTTTTGGGGACATTTCCACAGATGGCAAAACACCTTCTCCGTCCTTCCCCGCAGCCCACCGCTTCCTGTCTGCCTCTGGATGCAGTTTGTTAAACACGGAACTCAGCCTGTGGAGCCGGTTACCCTGTTTCCACTCACCTGGCTTCCTCTCCAGGGACTCTGTCTCCCCAGAGCAGGGGCTGCCTGCTCCCAGGCTTCCCGCCCCGGGGCCAGGGACAGGCAGGCGCCCCGCTTCTCCTTTGTGGGTTATCTTGTCGCACCAGGAACCATGGGGAGACCACAGTCACGAGCTGGCACACGATCACGATCGAGGCAGGATGTTTGAGAGTGACAGCTCTTTCCGCCACGTTTCTCACCAACTCTTTTCCCCTCCCCTCTTCCCTATCCCAGGTGTACGTGTCTTACGACTACGGGAAATCATTTCAGAAAATCTCTGAGAAGCTGAACTTCGGTGCGGGAAACAGCAGCGAGGCGGTGATCGCCCAGTTCTACCACAGTCCTGCTGACAACCGGCGGGTGAGGAGGGCGCCCGCGGCTGGGACGCGGGACCTCATGGGCTGTGTGTGGGGAAGAGGGTTGCACTCGGAGGCTGGGCGAGGGGCCGCTTTGTCATCTTTGCAGCATGACTGGTGGCCGGTGACGGTTTTTCTGTTTCCCTGGGAGTCTGACAGAGTGCAGTGCTCAGGTGGATCCAACATACCCAAGCCGGCCAGGTGCTGGCGGGCAGGGTCCAGGCAAACAGTGGCTGGTGAAGGCACAGAAAACCTGCCAGCTGATAAGTGGTGGATCATAGGCGGCAAAAGTGTTACCAGTCCCCAGGCCTTACCTTGCAGTCTAATCGGGGTCTTCCAGACTGGCTGCTGCGCTCTCTTCCTGGCATCACCTGTGCATGTGCATGTGTGTGCCTGTGTGCGTGTATGCATGTGTGTGTGTGTGCGTGTGTGCGTGTGCACCCTCCTTCCTCCAACCTGTCCTGGTACAGAGGTCACCAAGGCAGTAGATGGAGCTGTGTCTCCTGATCTGTCTTCCTAACTGGCTGGCCTGGTGCTTGTTTCTGCAGAAGATCCCTCCAGCTCCCCCCCTCCCCCGCCCCCTCCCCGCAATGTGACTTGGAGGAGGTTGCCCTGGGCCCCAGGGGAGGCAGGAGGAGGGCAGAGGACGGTGCAGGAGTCCGCCCCTCAAGGCTTTCTTTCCTGCCTGGCGGGAGCTCTGGCTCCACTAGGAGTTGTATTTGATGCTTTGGTCCCCACTGTCCTGCTCTCGCGAGCATGTCCAGCTCATGTCCAGGCAGGATGGCTGCTCTCAGGATGCTGAGGGATGGGGACCTGCTCCTCTTCCGGCCCCAGAGAGGGAGCAGGGAGGGAGACCCCCAGGTGCCCCCGTGCCTGCGCCTGGCCCTGCGCTCTGGTAGCAGAGGTGGAATGGAAAGTATTTAGCCACTGGATTGGCACTGACTGCTCAGACCTGCCTGACATGGGAGCTGGTCCTGAAGAACAACCTGCAGGCGGGCACTAACCCTTTAGCTGCTGGACTTGGGGGAGGTCTTGGCGAAGCGGCCAGTCCACTGCAGCTTTGGGAGGAACACCCACAGGTTTCAGGGAAGTGGGGTATGGAATCAGTTTTTAAAAATATATTTGTATTGATTTCAGAGAAGAAGGGAGAGGGAGAGAGAGAATCATTGATCGGCTGCCTCCTGCATGCCCCACACTGGGGATCCAGCCTGCAACCCCGGATAGGCACTGACTGGGAATCCAACTGTGACCTCCTGGTTCAAAGGTTGATGCTCAACCACTGACACATTAGCTGGGCCGGAGGCATTGTTTTTAAACAACTGGAATAGTCATTGCTTTTACACACAGGTTAAACCTCAGCCCGGCTTAATCTCAAAGTGGAGCGGCCAACTCGCCTCTTACCTTACTTATTACCTACCTGCAGGTGACAGGACACCCTCTCCCCTTACCTACCTGCAGGTGACAGGACACCCCTCCTCTTAACTACCTGCAGGTGACAGGACACCCCCTCCCCTTACCAACCTGCAGGTGACA